TCCAAAGGACATACTGAAACACTAATTAAAGAGTCACAGGACATAACATATAGTGGAGGAAATGTCGGTAGCACTTTACAATAAGACTACCCTTATAAAGGGTTTACGAATAGTTTGTAATTCATTTATTAATTAGGTTGTGAACACTTTATAAATCATTAATAAGCTTTTATAAGACATGAGATAAACAGGGCAACTGTGACCGGTTGCTTGCCGAATAGAGAGCCCACATTTATCTGTAATGCTAAGCCTTATATTGGCTACTTAGCTTACTTGGTCTTCATCAGCCAGCATCCTTGCTATCTGTTGCTCACTGAGTTGATTCTCACTAAGTAGCCAATATAAGTCTTAGTCATCTTGCCAAATAGTGAGCTTGTGTTGATGTATGCAAACTATGTTAGAACTGGTTTATAAATGGTACTTAATGATTAATAAAGTGTTTACAACCTAATTCATAACCTAATTATAACTCTTTATGAATCCTTTATAAGGGTAGTCTTATTGTAAACTGGTACTGTGTGGTTATTTTGGTGCAAATAGAAAATGAGGTGTCCCCAGAAGATAATACAGCTACAAAATTGCATTTGTAACAACACAGAGAAGAGACACATTTAGAAGCAAACATGTTGTTGAATGTGTTGGACATTACCTAATGACTGCAAGAGGAATAGCATCCAGTGCCAACCGTGGCATCAGAGTAAAGCTGGGCACCTGAGGAGGAATGAACCCTGTGGGGATGTGACCGGAAACACTGGAGCCATATTTGCTGTTCAGATCCCCAAAATGACTAGCCAGCGTAGCTCCTGCCACTATAATCAGCTCAGTCGGGAAAGGGATCTTCAGACGATCCTTGTAGCGCTCCTGGATCTCCTTTCCTGCCACTAAAATAAAAAAATTAGTCATTCTTTGTTAAAGAAAATTAAGAATGAGCTTTTTAGGCTTTTAAAAATGTCCCCAGGTATTGTAGTATCATTACAGCCCACGAGGCATGTTTATTATAACTAATAATCTGATGGGAAATGTATAAAATATACCTAATATAGAGATACAGATTGCACTAGTGATGAGGTCACACAGGTTGGTGTTATGAATGTTGGCAAAGATGTTGAACCAGGTGACGACAACTGTGCCGTAGCCTTGGTGACGGGGGATCTTTATGCCCAACAGGTATTTAGCCTGTACGGTGAGGATGGTGAAAGAGGCTCCCGTAGCAAAACCATCAAGCATGGGTGACGAAAGGTAAACGGAGACGAAGCCTAGCCGAAACACGGCCATAAGGAGCTGGTGAGGAGATTAGAAAAAGAAGAGGAGAGGAAGAAGAAAAAAGAGGGAGATAATGATGAAAGGATGGACTTGCGAACATTGTAAAGACAAAAAAAAGAACCCATCCATCCATTCCATAAATTTACAAGAAGTCAATAATTGCTCCTGCATCCATTACCTGATAGACGCCAACCATGAATGTTAGGGCAGTAGCGATGGAGATGGAGTAACAGTCCTTCCCACACTGCACACCCATTAGCTCCACACTGTGAGGTGAACCAATTGTCAGATTAGAGGCGAGGGAGGCATTTAACACCAGGCCAGAAGCTTTGGAGTCTTCATTGAGGTCAAATCCTGCCAGGAACATCTCCTTATTTACCACCTTCAGGCAAGAAATGAAACGGACATTTGTTAATAAAACTCTTAATTAAACCTTCCTCAGTAGCGTTATGTGAACAATGATTTCTCAAGGGACCTCTTCCCATTGATAGGTATTGGAAGTGCCAATTCATTTAGATTTGCTCTTTCTTGGCCCATTCAACATCGATCCACCAAAATTCATGAAAATTTGAAATTGTATTTAGCCGTAACCCTCTTGATACAATCAGATAAAGTGAACCAAAGACCTTGGTGGTTAAAAAATAGAAAAAATATTAATCACCATTCCATTAAAGACCTAAATTGTGTGATCCATTACCTGTCCAACCATGAGGCTCATGAGGCTGAAGATCCCCACAGAGACATGTCTAGACGTCCCCATGAGGAAGTAGATGATGTTGGCGTAAAAAGAGGTGTATAAACCATAGATGGGCGGCACTCCTGCCAGCAGACAGTAGGCGATGGCCTGTGGTACCAAGATGATTCCAACGATGACCCCGGACATCAAATCGCCCAAGACGTACTCTTTAAGCTTGTATTTAGGCAGCCAGCGAACAACAGGGAAGAATCCGGTGAGGGTGGATTGAACTTTTGGTACGGAGCAGGTCACGCCATGCTTCAGCTTGGATTTGAGGACTGAAACTGTGGTCTGTCGCTGGCGAACCCGACGTTCCAGGACGGGTGGCGGGACCTTGGTGACCTCCTCCATGGTCTTGGGTGGGAAGAAGGGGCAGAAGGCGAAAGGGAAATGAATTGGATAATGGGGTCAGCTGTGCTCCTGCACGATCTAGGAAAAAGAAGGGAGGAAGATATGCAGGACAGACAGGGAAAAGGAATCAGTGATTATCAGTGGAGATTACTTCAGTCAATAGATATAATACTTTGTCTTCCTGTTAGGTCACTTTCACAATATAGTTGAATACGGAGGCATCTAGACATTAACTTTACCCTGTAGGGACAGTGCTACTTGCATATTTTTTGTTGGTTCTTTATCTTTTAAACTTCTCTATCAGCCCTTTGAGTAAATGTTCAATCTGGATTACTGATTAAGTGTTTAATGGGAAAGTGTTTCATGTTCCAAACCCTATGGACAACTAAAACTATTTCCAAAGACACCTGTCCTGTTAAACATCAATAAAAAGTTACAGAAAACTTTTCATGACGATACAGCACATTTCATGGTAAGGGTAACGGTTTTACAGTGGACCCCGTTTTAATGACCTCCCTTTCCCAGGTTAGTCAGTAACTGAGACATCCAATGAGACAATCATAGGAAAGAGTGTATGTCAGTCATCAACACTGCAAGTATATGATTTGTATACAATTAGATTAGATAGAACTTCATTAATCTCGAAAGAAATTCTTTTTGCCGGGTTGCTCCAAAATTACAATACAGATAACACTATACATCTTAATAAAAGTATGCAATATACAATAGCTCAATATACAAAGTTTTAGAGTAACGTATTACAGTGCCCCAGTAGAAAATAGGTAGGAGCCTGTGACAGTGACAAGTCATATTGCACATTCAAGTAGAATACTACATTTTAAATACTAAAAACGTACTAAATAAAAGTAGTGTTGCTATTCTGTCTGCTTTAATCCATATCTATGCCACTTTCACCTGAACTGCTTCTACGTTATTACTTTTCACTATGCTGATACCATCGCAGCACTCCTCAATCGTTATCAATACTTTTAATCTTGTGTCTGATATGGTTGGTAAGATTAAGCAAGGACTATTACACTATGTCAGAGCGATGCTAAAATTAAGAAAATGTATGTATAGAAAGCAAGAGAGCCCTGACCACTGTCAACTTTGGGATCAATTTGGGTGATCCTTATTAAATACAAATCTCCATTGCCCTAAAATGTGGTACAAACATTAATGGTCCCCAGAGGATGAATTCTACTGACGTTGGTGCCGAGTGGATGAATCCTAATTACTTTCAGTATCCCCTGACATTTCCTGTAATGCCACCAGCAGGTCAAAGTTTACACCTTAACCAAAGAATAATCCAAACTTCTACAGGATTGGCTCACATTTTCTACAAGCAACATAACTGACATGTGCAACTCAAATCTCTCAAGTGTATAATGGGTTCCAATCCGAAAAACTAGCAAATGTTGTCAGCAATTGCAAATAAGTATGTGACATTTTAGTGGTGCACAAGTGCAGAAAGTAAGGAATTTCCGGGCACAGCTTGTCGCTTAGTCTTGTTATTTTGAAACTGCAGGAGACCACTGTGCTCTGCTATTAACTATTTACATGTATAAGAGTCAGTGAGCTGCAAAGAGATACATAGGAGAAAGCTAGCTGTCAACATTTATTGATGTAAGATCTTAAAGAACTGTTTATTTCTTACCAATTTCTTTCTTTTCTGTTCATGATAGCTTTAGATAGATAGATTTAAAGCAGTAATGTATTCTACACTTGTAACAGAGTTTAACTGTTAGGTGAAGTCCTTTTTCAGCAAGTTTCTACAGATAATTATACCATGAAACTGGTAAAATGATTTTAAAAACCCACAACTGACACTGCCTATGCAACTTACACTTCATCCAATGAAAGCAAATGTTCAACATGTGTATGGCACTCATGTATAATGCCAGTGGGTGATGGATTATAGGAGGCCTGTCTCACAAGGTTAGCTGTTTCAGTAGCAGCTGCACCTCGGGAAAGATTACCGTAACGGAAACCATGAAGCTTTCTAAATGATGGGCTATCAGCCTCAGTCATCGCAACATTGGTATGTGCCGCGACTTCCTGTGGCACGGCTCGCTCAGACTGATATGTTAGTGGGATAAAGAATAGATGAACATCTTTTTCATGGGTGCCTACATCAGATGTGTTGCAGTTAAATTCACCAGATTTAAGAATTCATCGTTTTCTGTCTATTCTATAGATTTTTTACTTACTCTTTCTCGGTAGTTTTTTTTTTTTTAGGACAATGATTATTTACTTTGCATGGAAACCAAGCTCAAATAAAAAATAAAGATGCCAGCTTGTTTTAATGTTGGTCTCATAAATCCATACTGACATTTTAAAAGATAAAAGGTACGGGAGATAAATGATGAGCCTGTGTAGCTCTTAGGTACACATAAAGTAAAAGAACATAACAAAAAAAGACCAAAGAGGTCTCCAACAAGGTTTCTTTTAAGAAGAGAAACACACAGGCCTGATTAACTGCTGAGCATCACGGGAGTCACACTGAGGACCTTTTGATACCAAATTTACTTCAGCGTCAACCCTAAACTGTGCTGTAAAGATACTATTTAAACGGTTTCTGTGAACTGTTTCTAATCAATGTTTGGCGCCTTTAATCATGTGATAAAAGCCCCCCGACACTGCTTGTAAATGACCTGAAAGCTTCCTCCCTGTGCCTTTCATGTATAGTTAAAATATTTTCAATCAAGGCATGTTAGAAGTCCAAAGGGGCGAAAGAAACTGCGTACCAACTTGCTGTAAAGGAAAGCATACATATGATTCCTCAAATTAACATATTTTATACATTTACAACCGGTCATATTAGGTCTGCAATATCAACTTTTCAATCTACTGCAACGAACAACAGTATTGGCATGCATTTTTATTTATTATTGCCATGTTCAGATAACAAAAATCTAAGAGTACTATTGTGTAAAATATCATGTATTTTAAAAACTTTGAACGTCATTCTGAGCCTTAGTTGCTGAGTCTTCAAAAAGTGCTAAACTACTGAAGCCAGGACGACTATTGTCCATAGTTTTGTGAATTGTGAAACACAACAATAAAGATACAATATGACGTAACCATGGAAGCCGGTAGTTCCTATTCAACTTGAAAAGGGTCAACAAGAGCCTTATACTCAGCCGATGTCAAACAGTGCTCTGACGGGTGTGGATTTAGGGAACAGGTTTGGAGAAATGCAAATTATAATACAAAACCTTCAAGATAGCAGCTTTTAATAGGTTTGACATTAAAGACAAATCACAAAGTAAGCAGTGATTACTACTTGAATAAGATTTGTATTAAAAATTCAAAGTAAAAATAAAAAAATGCTCTGAAGGCTGGAAAAAGAGCCAACCAACACCTCGGCAGTTTGGTAATGCTCTTTAAAGAACCTCTTTTATTTTTCAGAATTCTCTCTCACAAACTGAAATCCATTAAAACTTAAATGGAAAATCCTCCTGATAGGAACATAACAGCAGAATTTTAAAATATCTGCTAATCCGTACACGTCCAAAAGTAGTTAATGCAATACTTGGATAATTAAGGATTGTAAAAATACTACATGGAAGAATGTTAATAGCACTGCTGGCTAAACTACCTACTAAACCATGTGCATGCGTACCCTCTGTGCGCTGTAGACATCATTTCACCAGCAGATCATTACAAATGTGCTCAAAAGAACAAAAATAATCTCCAATTAAACCCAAATCATATTTTAAGATTTTCACCAGGAGGAATAAATACTTTGTCATTTCTTGGACACACATTATCAGTCAGTATAAGACACTCACCTGTAGAGTCACTGCCACTGAGACAAACCTTAAATCTCTGATGTGTTTAAATCAGCTCTGTGTTGATTGCCTCAACTTCTTCCTAATATATCTGCCTCTCCTCCTCTCTTAATATGTATCTGATGTCAGACAGCAGTAGTTGTGAGGGTTATCTCTGCTGGATAAATGGAGAGATAAGAGCAGCCCTTTGCTCACCCTCACTCTGGCCCCCTATTGGCTTGGTCACCAACAGTGGGTTGGGCTTGTCCACTCTTGAACCAATAGAAAGCATTTGTGTGTTTGTGTAGAGGAGGGTTAGATGTTTAATCCAGTCAATTTTTTACTCGATCATTGCTTTACGTGCCCCTGCAGTAAGCCTGGGCAAATAGGCATAGTCAAAGTGAAAATGAGTTTAGTTTGTTATACTGTTTAAATACATCCTGTGGACAGAGTTGATTACACAGCTAACAGAAGATAAACTGTGCCTGAGGTGAACTAACCAAAGAAGTGGCCCTGTTATCTGTGTGAACTGTGCCAGAAACAACCTAAATGTACAGCAAATACACACAGATTGGGCACTAGTGTGTTAAACAATGTGACTACCAATGATTTGTACCTGTCAGGTTGAATCAAAACACTGTCATTGAATTATTCTGAACTACAGGTAACGCTTTAGCTGTGCACCAATACAAATATGATTTAGTATCTGGTCTTTTCAAAAGATAAAATGTACTGTAATTAATAAAACATAAAAAACACCTAATGTTTAATCATTTTGAAAGTTGTTTGATATTCTCACTATCAACCAACGAGGGCTAAACGTAAAACCCCTTTTGTTATTGAGCTAAATATTGCGTCTTTGAAACACATTTAATTCCAGTTTATGATTAAACATACCATATATATAATATTCCTGTTATACTTGTTTAGTTTCATTGTTTCTTTTCTGTGGAAGTAGTTTGAGAGTTACTCAAAACCAGAGTTACACTTCTTGCATTTGCACACAATTACTTGACCTTTACGGGAAATTCTGTATCATTTGGAATAAAGGATACATGGACACATGGAGTTCAATGGCTGAGGTCGCTGCTGCTGCTGCTGACCTTTTGGTTAAAAGCTTACCAAAACACAATGATGGGGGGTATATGGTTCATCCTTAATGCTGTAAATGTATCTATTGTCTCTATAATCAGAACTACATCCACTGTCACTGAGACAAATGTGAGTCTGTGTGTGAGAGTGCAAGTGTGTGAGTGTGTCTATTATATTCTGGACTCAATGGCATCATTTTCAGGGTGAACTCATGGTAGACTCCTTCTTACACAGTTAGTCACGGTTAAGATTTGAATTACATATGTAACAGTACATAAATATCACCAGAGAGAGGGGCTGCTTTTTGGTGTGTGGTGTTCCCATGACCATATCCATGCACAGCAAGACTGGAATATGACTTCCAACATACAAAACAGGGACAAAACCAAAAAACCGGATCATGTTAGGAGTTTCCGCACGTCTTGTCACATTAGTTGACCACTCACAGTTTGAGGGGATTACTGCACTGCCTCTTTAAATCAACCGGCAGCATCATCTGTCTGCATGTTAGCTTTACAGGCTTTATCCCCAGTCTAGCTGGATTTGTGGAGCCTTTATATTTGATTTTCTGGTCAATAAAGACTCACCCAGAGAGGGGCAGAGGAGCAAAAAGGGGGCAACATCAGCCATCCCTCCCTGAGTGGTGCCTCTGCCTACACCATCAGTCTGTTTTCCTCTACACCGCCGTGCACTCTGCTCCTCACTGTCTGCTTCCTGTATCCTTTCGCAAAGCATGATGGGAGCAGCAAACCCCCCGTCTCAGCCGAGCAGAGGGGGAGGGGAGGGAGGAGAATAGATGGAGGGAGGGAAGAGGGGTGGTTACCATGGTGACTAAACTCCTGGTGTGTGTGTGTGTGTGTGAGCGTGTGTGTGTGTGTGTGTGTGTGTGTGTGTGTGTGTGTGTGTGTGTGTGTGTGTGTGTGTGTGTGTGTGTGTGTGTGTTATGCATGTATATTGTTATGCACCATATCAGCAGGATAACCAGAGTCATATGACACTTTACTATCTCAAATTCTTTAAAGAGTTATTCTGGTGATAGTCTTTATCGTTATAATGATCAAAAAATATCATGAAATTACAATAATATTGAGCTCCATAACGGGGTGGACATAGTTTGTAGTCACACTCGTAGCTGAATGAACCGCCATTCTTTAAGGTGTAGTGTTTAAATACAGGAGCAAGAGTCAGAAAATAATTCCCTCGATTCACCGAAAACAGGAAGTGTCGTAACTTTTGATGGCCATTGTTTTAGTATCAGCATCATTTGCAAGCTGCTTTTCAAGGTGGCATTTTTTCTATTTTTTTTGTAAGCTTCTTCCTGTTTTGAACTCTGGTGATTATTACTGGCGTGGTTTATACAACAATTCACCATCAAATTAACAATTTTCCTGAATAAAGGGTGTGTTTTAGATACAGTACAATCTAACCTTCAACTAGTTATGGTCTGTATGAAAATATTAAATGTCTATCTTAATGATCAACCAACTGTTTGTGCAGGTAAAGTCGCAAAGGACTTACATGCGTACAAATCATCAGTTATCAATATTGACTGGCTGTTGGAGGGTTGGATTACTACTTCCTGCTGAATATTTTGGGTTGGCACTATGGTGAACCCTCTATGCAAACGTGCAGTCATTGCATTAGGCCACAGTTAGTGAGTCGAGTGGAGCATTTAACACCTAAAGAGAAAGACATTTCCCTGGATTTGGCAGCGAAAATGAGCTAGACAGAGAATTAATGGGATTTAAATTAACAAGTGATGAGATTTATATGAATACAATTGTATTAAGCACTTCATATAGATATCGCATTATCCAGTATCTGTGGAAGTATCAGGTGTGAAACCTTTAAAGGTGAATTTGGCAGACCTTCTCCGAACACAGATAGGACGTTAGTTCCTGATAACCCTGTGACAATAACACCACTTCACCTTCTCTTCTACCCAACAAATTCCCAAGGTTTACAAGGAACCAGCAAACACTGAACACAATAGTTTATTTATTTCACTTATTATTAACCCCTTTGGTTACGTGTCTGTCAAGGACAGTACATGTTTTGGGAAGATTAGTTGTAACACAAGAAAAGTCACGCACACAAACTGCCTGTTGTTGCTTATTTTAATTTCCTCTTAGAAAGTTAAGGAGTGAGTTTGGAGACCTGAGTAAGCTTGGCAAAAAAAAGGTATCTCGTTGCAAAAGGTTTTTATCACCCTCCGATTTATAATCTGTTTAACATTTAGAACATGGTTTGAAATAAGTTTGAATTTAGTGATGAGTTCCCAAAGGTTGTGCAGTGTTCCGCGAAGAGGAGCAGTGATTACACAACTTCTTTCCATGATGACTCAAAGTAATGTTTGAGTTAAAACGTAACTGTAAACCAGCTAAATATTAACCTCTAAGCCAACACAAGGTTTTTTAGTTTCATCAATAAATTAAGTCTAATTATTATATCAGGATTTATTTGTCTTTCTTTTTTTCCGCTATTGCAGCTTGACGAGCAGCAGCAGCAGCTGTTTCCATTTCTGCTCAGCTGTATTGATTGCTCATTGATTGCACCTGTGTCAAGTACATTTAAGTAGACCTGAAACCAGCTGAGGACTGAACCAATCAGAATCGGTTTTATAAACAAGTAGGTTTACACATAGGAGGAATTTGCGCTATACAGTATGGTGCATACAAAGACACAGAAAGAAGAATACTTGGCAAAACTAAATGAAATAAAAATATGACAGCTATTTAAAAAAACTATTATTTGGACTATTATAAAAAATTAACAATATATATATACAACATATAATTAGGTGAGACACTGAGTACAGACATACTAAAATATGACAAATACTATATACAAGGTTTGCCATTGACAAATAGGGGCAATTTAAATGCATTACTTTGCATGTTTTAAAAACATTTGACATTTACTTTTCAGGGGAAAATAATCCATAGCAAAAAAACAGCAATAAAACTAAAAAGGAATACAAATAAATGTTATGTAGTAGCACAATGTGTCACACAATTCTAACACTTCTATAGTTGTTATTAATTAGGCCTTTCACACAGCAGACAGCGTGTTTGGTCAAATTGTAAGACAAGCCCAGACACTGATAACACTAACGACTGCTTTGTTCTTCTCAAGAGTCCCAGTGATCCATGACTGACAGTGAGCCACATACGGTGCCCCTAAACTAAAGCAGCTAAATGGTATGTTTACACCTCTTCTTTTCCTATTAGACATGTCATCTGAATACTGTGACAAAAGCCTACTGCTGAAAGAGGAGTGAAGAGCAAACGGTCATTTTAGTTGCTAGTGTTGTTGCTACATCTAGTGGTAGTGAGGAGACAAGCAGGTAGGTTTTTAGAGTTGAGCATTACACACACACTTGGAGAAGGAATCTGTTTTTCAGGAGAAACACCTTCCTTAGCTTTTTCTATGGGAACCATCCTGAACCTGGCCTGATTAGGGTTTGTTAAGGCTGGCTTCTTACCTTCAAATGGAAGGACATTAGAAATAATTGACCTTGGAGACTCTCTTTAATGGATTAAAGACTGTATTTAGACAAACTAACATGCAGCTGCCCATAGAAGGATGAAATATTGGCCATGTGTCTCATGCGGTTAAAAATGAATTTCTGTTCCTGTGTTAACATCCAAATAATCTCAGAGCCAGGACGTTTTTAGAAAGCCCAGGTCAAGCACTGGAACTTCTGCACTACGAGATCTTTATGCTTTTAGACAGTAAACCCAGGGAGATTGTGTTGGATTCAGTGATTACAGAATAATGAATTCCTCCTGTGGATTCTCCCTGGGCTTAATGGGCAGCAGACTCAGGCGTCAGCACCAATCAATCCTAAAAATCAGCTCGGAGGTTATTTTTGAGCGGCGTAGAGATGATTGGGGATAATCGCGTTTGTTGCAACTAAATAGGCTTCCTGACGAGGTGCTTTGTTTGTAATGGCCGCCAACAGTAATACAGGCTTGTTAAAAATTGTGTTTTAGGCCCACACAGAATATATTAGTTTTTGCTTGATGCTCATGTTATCTTATTAAATACAGAGCTCCAGCTATGATGTGTTAATTGTCAACAACAGTGTGAAAAGACCAAAATAGTTATCTAACTGCCAACATTTGGGAAAGTGTATTAGGTTCAGTTGACGAGACATGGGTATTCATTCATCAAGTCTGACTGGTGCTAGGCAGTGGTTCTTAAAATAGAGATTTGGCCCCTCCAAAATAAATTATGTCGGTCATGATTTTTTTTTCATATTTATATGTGTATTTGTTTTAAGTAAATACAGATGTTACACTTGAAGAGCGATGCTGTTCTCCGAAAGGTTGCTTTCAAAAAAATGTGGGTCACTTTAAACACCATGAAATTCCAGAATGCTGTAGAGCTCTGCTGTTTACGGGTAAAATACAACTGATATCTACTATACTTTTGTTTGTGTGTGTGTGAATGTTGCTACGATGTGTAATTAGGCAAGGTTTTGCTAGCAGATTCGTCTTTGTGACATAACAATATGATAATATAGTGTACAGTTCAATTAGAAATAAATATACCACAGACTCAAGTGTTGAAATCTGGAGAAATTAGCATAAGCCACATTTTATAGACCCGACATGAATCAATTAACACCCAATTATTGTCAAATTCTCTGTTTATTCATCATCTCCATTGCATGGAACAAAGATGAAATACAGGGCAGTGGACTATTAAAAGTTGTCACATTGTAACAAGACACCGGTCACATCAACATCTCTGAAGCCTGGAGGTTGTGCATTAAAAATAAAAAGGAAAGATGGTGAGTTTAATGTTGTTTTCTGAGGCAGAGATGCATTGAGAAATTGAAATTAAAATGTGAGAGTGGAGGCTGCTGCAGTATCACACCTCTGTGTGTCGATCTCATGAACGTGTTGCGATAGACAGCCAGAGGGAGACAGAACGGTTCAGATATTTAAACTGAGCTTCAAACATCAGAGGAAAGCTGTGTTATAAGGGCATTTTGAAATACCTTTGAGTAAATGGCTCTGAGTAAGTTTAAAAGGTCACCAGTGCTGCCAAAACTAAAAGAGTATCTCCCAACACTGCAGGTCTAAGTATCTTTGTCTATAAATCTGTACATAATTAGATACACTTTGTCTGTATTTAGTGCTTTTGGACACTTTTTATTCATTGTTTTTGTTTTTTCCTTACCTTGGACAAAACAGGGCCAGATCCGAGCTCAGGAGAGTGAATACTGCCCCCTAGTGGTCAAATACAATTTAATTTAAAACCCAGTTAGCCCGAGATTCTTTACTCCATTGACATCAGTCTTTTATATTCACCTTGGCTTGAGCCAGATTCAGCAACTTTTCAAAAAAGAAATGACTGTTTTCTTAAAATCCACAATTGTTTTAATGTTCGGTTGTATTTCTTGTATGTTTTTTCAGTGCTGTAATACCAAGTCTTAATAATTTAATAACTTAACAAACTTGTCAATTTAGCTTCATGCAGGAGGAGTGATTTAATACTGGCAACCAAGCTTTCCAACCCGCTGCAGTGATGTACTACCAACATTTGACTGATCCCGGACAGAGATGCAACACATTTAAGACTTTCAACCTACAGAGGAAAGTGCAACAATAATTTAAATGCCTTGAAATGATCAGATCAGTGTTTCGCCACGAGGGTCAACAATGATACAACCATTTTGATACATGCTTTATTTCATCACAAACTACTGGGACGTCATTGATTCTCTGCTACTTCAGCATGGGATATGAAACGAAGAAAATAAATAAAAACTTTGGACATTACATTCAGCAGTTTCAGAGTGCCGTCGGTGCTGGTAAAATACAAGAATACAAACTACTGCTCAATAAAATGTAATCTAAAGACACCTAAAGACACCTGTATGAGCATTATCATAGAGGTTAAAAAGCAGTTGTGTTAGCCAGAGCTTTGCTTGTAGTCTGCTGCAGTTTTTCTGGACCGTTGCCCTCATGTTTCCAATCGCAGAATTTCAACAGTTCTTTTAGGTTTTAGATTGAGGACCGGGGAACATATTGGCAGTGTGTTTTGTTCCATGGACACATTTACTCTTCAACTGTCCCTTTTGTTCTGGCACCAAAATGCTCCGATATTTCACCAAAAGTCAGATCTGCACTTTTCTGATGACTAGTATTGCCTCTAGTCCCGGACAGCATCAACATGTTTTAAAAAAAAGTCATATGAGGATGCTGATCCTAGAGTTCATATCCACGTGAGACCACCTCCTTATAAACAGGTCGTAGTTGGCTGCTTTTTTACTCATAGAGTCCCAACAGAGTCCTGGGACTGCTCGTTGGCCAGTATCGTTCGCCCATTGTCACTGTAGCTCCGGTTTGGCAGAAAGGACAATCTGAAAAAGAGACAGAGACTTTTGAGATAATATTGATTAAAAACATCTGATTGATTTAGAAAAAGGGGTTAGGGTTAAGTTTAAGCCAGAGACTGTTGAATCATAGCTGTGCTGGTAGAAATAAGCTGGTGGGAATGGAAGAGAAAGGAGGCATGGGAAATTAGTAGAGCGGAAACTTCTGTTGGCATTCTTCTCAAAGTGGGCAGTCCTTGCGGAGGAAGAAGGAGGAATAAGAGGGAGACAGAAAAAAAAGGCTGTTTCTAAAACACAAAGAGGACAATAATGATACAAATTGGCAAAAGGACATTATTACATTTCAATGTTGCAACTTGCCCCCCGAGGCGTCGTCATCACACCTACAGCAGAAAGATTTGGAGAGTGGTTATACCTATTACTTTAATCAAATCGACTAAATCCCAGTACAAATAGAAACCCTTAATTTACCAGAATGGGCAAAAAGTCCCTTATGAAGTCGGAGCATAATCTGTTCTTAACACAGAAGGACCTCATAAGCAGTGTATTACTAGACACACACAGACAGACCTGAACGGAAGTCTGGGTATATATTCCATCTGGTAAATTCCCAAGATTAGTTCTTATCAGACAATTTGACACACACACACACACACACACACACACACACACACACACACACACACACACACACACACACACACACACACACACACACACACACACACACTATTCTGTAGAGTGGGTGTGTTTACAGTCTAAACTAAAGGATGCCTGTCTGTCAGTCTGATTCAACACATTTCATAATAATATAATCTCACTTTGCCCAATAGCATGCCCTGTTGAGACAGTCCCTAATTTCAGCTCTTCAGTTTTCTGTCAAGACACGCACAGTATAAAGGTTTATCAGTGACAACAAGGTCAGAAGACCACCGCTCGTTCTTTATTTTACATGAATCTAGAAAATAACAGATGAAACGTTTTTAAGGTTGAACAGTCAGCACGCCTTGAGGTTTTACATTTCGGGTCATTACCATCATCCTGCAGATTTGTATCTAGAGATCCTGACACTACTCTAGGCGATGAATTTAAGTCAACAACAAACGTCTGACAGCAACATCTGTCCTTACTGCCCTGAGGATAATTATATGTTTATGAGTTTGTCACATTGCATTGAAGTAATCCCCAAATGTACCCTCCTGCTAAATACACTGTTGCCCATAATGTGGGAATAAATACATTTGACCTCTCCTCATGAAATGATTGTGTCAATGTGATTTATTATTGATAGATAAAGTTGATATCTTCTCAAAACCATTGATCAATCTCTTCCAAACATCACAGTGAAAAGTAAACCACAGTTGAAAGAGGAATGTGTCTGAAAACAAAATGATTCCAACTTCATGGGAAACAGTGTATTTTTTTTTTCATTGTTTTTTTATGAGTGGAAAAACCCTGCTTAAATACCGTTTGAAAAAGTTGTTTATAATTCACCATCAATTAATTGTTTTATTACAGGACAGGAGACTTGACTGGACTTTAGAGGACATTAACACTTACATTAAACAAGTTCAGGTTTAACATTGGAGTCCCAAACATTGCACATATCTTCCCTCTAACGTTCATGCCAGGAGACTTTAACCACAGGAAGTGTGGCATTTAAAAGCTAAAAGGCTTTTTTTCCTGCATTACAGGACATTCCCAGAGTAAAAAATATGAGGGAAAAGAGTATTGGAATTTTCCCACATGTTGAATCATCAATTTCATGGAGAAACCGCAGACGTTTTTACCAGAGATATTTCAATGGTTATTCCCACCAGAGCTTTCCCTCATGTGTTTCCTCTAATCCGTCCGTCCAGATTTAGTGGAAAGAAGAAAGAGATTAAAGAGATTTCTCTTGCAATACATGTGAACTTTGGTCATTTTCCATCATTATCTTTAGTTTGAGGGCAGCGAAACGTTTTGTGAGGCTGCCTTCAATTATGATAAAAATAAAATCTTGCAGGAAAAGCTTCCTGCCTCATCAGAAGGAGAGAAAGGAGAAACGACTTGTGAATTATGTGAACTTCTCTCATGGGAATCTTCAAATCTGTTTCTGTTTCTATTCTGACACGATAAGTACCATGGCCATTGGAAGTAGAGACACATTCAACGCCATTTTTGGTGATTTGTTTCCAGAAATAGCCATTTATTGCCATTATGTAATAATATCTCTACTGTTTTCAAAGATTTCTTTGGGCAACCAGTGCCTTTATTGCAGAATTGAAACGGGGAAACAGAGAGAATGACATGCGGCAAATAGTCCCTAGCTGGATTGTGTACCAAGCCCCAGTAAAAGGGCCTTTATCTCTACCAATTGAGCTATAAGGCGCATTTATTGTGTTGGAGTCTGCCACTTCCACACTGGGACCAAGTTAACAACATAATGTAACCCCCATCAAACTGACGTTGCCAGCAGTACCTTCGTTTTCATAAATTACAGTTTTTGGCGTACGCTCTACATTGTGTTTTGCTAGTGTTTTTAGATATGCATAAAAGTTAATAATACTATCAACTTTTTAGAGCTTATATCTATTTTTTGGTGAATCAGTCGCAATGAATGCAATGTATCGTCTAACACTGCCTTGACTGAGACCGTTTACAAAATATTTGTTCACAAAACATACAGCATCAGGTGTTGGTTAGTGGCTGGATCAACACAAGTCTTCTGTACTTTATCTGACATTCACTTTTAAACACTGACTTCTTCAATCCACAAGCTTAAGGTCTCTCACTATAATCCTGTTTGGGTCGTTGAGAAGCAGCGCTCAGAAAAATAATCTGTGAGTTTGATCTATGGCTGACTTCCAGTCTGACAAATTGAATAAGGAGATCCAAACACACATCAAAAACGACACGCTTAGGGAAACAATCATGAGCAAGGAGGACATTTGGACTGTTGGTCAGATTTAAATGTATTTTTTTGTTCTTTTGAGAGAGAAAAAGCTGGATTTAACTGACAGGAGGAATTCTGGATGAGTTTTTTGAAACTGTGTTTATTGCGCTTTTGTAAATGTACACCTGTGTGTATTCCCTCTTCTTCTGACTGTGTGTTGTCAACAGTCTTCTGTGTAATATTTTAAAATGTATATATACTGCCTTTTGCTATCATAAACGGATAATTCAGAAACATACATACAAATAATAACTACATTTTAAGGTAGACACTTCAATCTCGGTTGATCCATGTTTATTTTTATTTAATGAGAACCATTTCTTTTTTTGTGTCAGAGCTGCATTTATTTTCTGTCTCTGTTTACGTTTCATGTTATGAGTGTATTTAAATGCAGAAGCTAATTATGCCTAGAAATAAGCACTCATCTAATTAATCAATCAGACTATAATTATAGTATTCAGGTACACTCTAATTGTTGCTGTCCAAACTCATAACAATTCATGCCTTTTACATTTTCACTTTCTACACCATTTGTGCTTGACTGCCTTTATTTATCCTTTCATCTGATCTGTTACAGTACGGGACCTTAAGGTGGATCAACACAAGATACAGGAGAGGCTTGTGGTCCTTTAATTTAGCGCTAATTTCATTCAGGGACAAATCAGATTTCTCTCTTATCTCCTCGCGTTGGGAGCGAAAGTAGCGAGGAGGGATCGCCGATGGGGGAAATTGATAGGACGTGTTTTCCCACAGGAACGCTGAGGATATCACTGGAGGAGAAACTTCTGCTCTTTCTAAGAAAGGCTCATTTTACACCTAACAGGGCGTACTACAGGTTTCAAATGTTTCAGCTCATTGATTAAAAACCGTGTACACCAAACATAATCGCTTTTCTACAGCAAAAAGGAATGCTGTACTTGGGGAACTTTTATCTAAACACATGAGGTAAAACACATAAACTGTCAAACTTGAATGAATACAGGAATATCGCATTTATCATGCATTTTTTCAATTTAGGTGCGTAATGGCATCTATGTGTTTGTAAGTTTCTCCTAAATTCAGCAAAGTGAACATTAGATAAAGACTCTTTTGAATATTTAAATATTTCTTTTTGGAAAAATTGTCATACAAAAAGGATTCAACCTTTATGATAATACAGTAATAAACGTGGGACATTTCCCCCTGTAGTGTCTGCAGAATGTATGCCATTTTATGTTTTTCTTTACTCACCCTGAGCCTGACAACTCAAATTCACTAGTACCTACAAACTACACATACAAGTTAGTTCATAAATCAGTCATGGTCTGATTTACATGTATGGAATATATGATTCATAAAATGTTTTGTATGGCTGTTGAAGTTCTTTTCAGATAAATGGATTTAACTAAAATAAAGATTTGACTCAAACTTGTTAACCTTGCTTTAACCAATGCTCACATTGCTGTTGAAGAAATGTATGCAAATTAGCACATATTAAATGAGAAAAAGGCCTAATTTACATATTTAAAAATAAAATGTCCCAAAATAAATATTTACTTTATATAAATAAATGAAAAATCAAGACTTCAAACACAGTTCGAATAGATAGGATGTGTACAGACTGAAGCATTGGCTGGACACTCGAGGGAAATTAATTGGCTAATTGAATTCATAAGACGCTTTGGGATCTGGAAAAGTAAAACTTTCCCATGCAGCAAAATGTTTGGACGGGTCAACTGAGAGACGCAGGGTGCAATGTGGGACACAAGATTAAGTATGCTGGATTTAGTTGTTATAACCAAAAAAGGTACTTTACTACGTTTGATTTGTTTTGAGATGTTAGCTTGTGGACACCAGGCCTTATCAATTATACATCAGAGGCTTTTAGAGACCCAGATATTTTACTTCTTCCTTTCATTACAAACAATGTTGCTTCCTCCCTTCTCAGTGAAATTAGTTTTGCTCCCTGAAGTAAATGCATAAGATATGTGCTGCTGTCGTCAAATTGAGTCATTCCCAGTTGAAGAGACCCTTCCTGACACCAAACTGAATGAAAACATTGAACAGACAGTCAGCACATAAATAGACAAGTGCAATAAAACATATTAAAAAA